AGGGAACCTACTAAAGATCCATCGACCACACCGTGATGGCGAGATGGACCAGGAGCTGCCTTACTGGAGGACAGTGGTGCCACAAGGAGGCGAGTATCGGTCGCGTATTTTACAGGAAATTCATGCTGTACCGTACTCAGGGCACCCCGGTGTGAACAACACGATTTTGCGGGTACGTCATCAGTTTTGGTGGAAAGGGATGATCAGTGATGCACGGGACTTTGTTCTCAGCTGCCCCGTGTGTCAACAGGAAAAAGGGTTGCATATGATGCAAGGTGGCAAATTGCAGCCACTAGAGATCCCAACACACAAGTGGGATCAAGTTGTTATTGATTTTGTGACGGATTTACCAGAGGATGAGGGGCACAACGCTGTGCTTACAGTAGTTGACAAGGCCACCAAAATGGCTTATTTTCTGCCTTGTAGTAAGTCGATTACTGGGAAGGAAACGGCGCAGCTGTTTTGGAATTCTGTGGGGTGCATCCATGGAATCCCCTCTACGATTATTTCAGATCGAGACGTCCGTTTCACAGGATCTTTCTGGCGGGAGCTGTGGCGTATTTTGGGAACTGGTTTGAGAATGGGGACTGCCTATCATCCCCAAAGTTCAGGACAAGTTGAGCGCTATAACCAGGTCCTCAGTCAGCTCCTCAGGTGTACGATTCATCAGGTGGGCGATGGTGCTCACTGGACCCAACTCATCCCAACGATTCAGTTCGCGGCGAACACGGCTCCCAACCGTTCTACAGGATATACTCCTTTCTTTCTGAATTTTGGCAGACATCCGACGACTCCCATTCAGTTATTGGATCACCAGCAGATCAGAACGAAGACAGAAGCCGTCTCAGCATTTGTTCAACGACTCAGAGACCAGTTTGCAAAGGCCCAGGTCAACATGAAGCAAGCAGCTGACCGGATGAAGTCCATCACCGATCAACGACGACGTGATGTTGTTTTTGCTACAGGAGCATGGGTGTTACTCAGCACCAAACATTTGAAGCCGGAAGGATCAGCCAAGTTGCAGCGCCGTTTTGTCGGCCCGTTCAAGATTTTAGAGCGGATTGGCACCAGTGCCTACCGTCTTGAACTTCCTGCTTCCTGGTCAATCCATCCCGTCTTCCATGTTTCGCTCCTCAAGGACTACCGCTCATCACAACTTCATCCTGCTGCCGATCGCCTTCCCCTTTTGGTCCCTGCTGAAGATGCTGAGCCTGATGTCTTCGACGTGGAGCGTGTACTTCGCTGGCGGTGGAGTCCAGGTCATCGACGAAAGAAGGAATACCTTGTGCTGTGGAGCGGCTACCCCATAGATGAAGCCACCTGGGAGCCGGCGTCCCACTTTTCTAGTCCTGGAGTTCTTCGCGGACTACTCAACCGTGACCAGCCCTCTGAAGCTCATTGATTTTTCGGTCTCTTGCTGTTCGCCCCACTTCCTTTTTTCTCAATTCGAGGACGAATTTCCTTCCCCGGGGGGAGTGGTTTGTGGTAATTTCGTGCACTTTGTGTTGGCGAACTGCTCGTGGGACTGTGTCTTGCGAGGTCCCGTAGGGGGCAAGCTCGGCCGAGCGAAGCGAGCGGAGCCCCCGGCCGCCGGAGATAATGGAATTAATGAGTTTAATGAACATTAATGGAATTGTGTGCCGCGGCTTGTAAGAGCGTGCGCGGCCATGCCGATTGTAGTTCGATTGTTCTGGAACGCCTGCCTCCCTGCCTCCTCGAGCGCAGCAGCCGCGCGCCTCGGACGGGACCGCACAGAGCGGCCGTCACCCACGGGCCAGAGAGAGCCCGGGACACGCCGTCCGGCCGAGGACGACCACGCTTCCACTGGAGAGGCCCTAGAGCGCGGGCCAGGGTACCTGGACGTGGCCAAGGGGGGACCGCGCCGACACAACCACTGGGTAGCCGATCGAGGACATTGATTTCAAATTTGTTTTCGAGGGCGAAAACTCCCCCTAGGGGGAAGTATTGTTGTGGAAACACATGGGGGTCAAGAGAATTATGGCCATTAGTTTTGGTTGGTTAGTCATCTGTGGGATTACACCCATTATTTGGATACATTGTGATCTCTAGATACTCGTAGGCTCTTTACTTGTCTAAATCCCCCAAGTATGGAGTAGTGTATAGCCTAGGGAAGTCCCTGTACTTAAGGGACGGGCCGTGGGGGTAGATTGGGCTGCGATGTATCGATAGTGGGTCCGATATGAGGGTATGCCGGGCAATACAGTCGTGACACACTGATGTACATTGTGTGGTGTCTGTGTGATGGGTGGCCGAACCGGAATGTGGCCGACCACTAGTACGTACGCGAGGGTGCGTTGTTCCCCACTCTGTTACCCCGTTTGGCTCACTGCCTCACTCTGCACGGGCCTCACGGCCCGGGGAGCAAGCTGCCTCGCAACCTGCCATCTTCGAATGGCAGGACTGCCCGATCCTAGAGCACAAGAGGGCCCACCGTGCAACGAACAAGCGAGCACCCTGATTACGCCCGCCGGGTTTGGCGGAGGGGCCACCGGCCCATCGGGTGTAGGCAGATAAAGTGGGACGCACGTGACAAAGGGGAAGAGTGGAGGCCATTTAAAAGGGCCCTAGAACAAAGTGTGCACGGAGCACACTTTACAACATCTCTCTCGTTGGGTCTCATGCTCTCTTGGACACAATTCCCGTGTGGCCCTTGCTAGGACCCATATCAAATAATATCAAAATACCCATGCCACTGCTACAGTGGCAATACAGTGATAATACAACATTGTCAACAAAAGATAAATTGACGTCAATTTAAAGTCTCGAACAGTATCCTCTGGTAAAATTTTTTATTATGCATGTGTGCAAAAGATATTGTCTGCTACAATATGCATTGTATGTGTATATCCGTGCTTATCATCTGCAAAACCTAATACTAGAGTATTGCTCTCCTTCACATCGTCACTCATTTGACACCATCGCCAATTTGCATAGGCCAACTCCACATCACAAATTTACAACAATAAAGCATTGGAAAATCTTCCCATAGAATGGCAATATAAATTGCTGATAACTATCATTAATACTTGGTAATAGCCTCTAGCATGCCTAGTCGTAATATTGGAAAACAACACTCTAACTACGGCTAGTATCCCCAGTTTTGATGTTGTTTAGTATGGCTCAATTACAAAATAATAGTAACTGATTGGCCTTGTTTAACCACGGGTAGAAACATATGAAATATCAATTATTAGATTCAAAGTTTTGCTTTTGTAGTGAGAGGTTGTCCATAACCCTATTTCAGGCCCGAGTGTTCATGGTATCAATTTCTTATATTATCAAATAGTCATAGAATCTGACAAAAAAATCATCAACAACATTTTGCACATTAAAAAGAAGCAAAGTTGATTATTCTCAACTTTTCGCGCTATTGTTCGAGTTGCGATCTAGATGAACATATGGCAGCTATGAACTGAAACATGTTTCGAATGGTTTACAATTCCTGCAATATAACTGTCTTCTGAAATATGTTTTTGGAGATCGACATGATGCCAGCTTTGGCAATAGTCATTGGGGGATGTGGAAATAGTTCTATGCCAATTAATCGGCAGTTCATACACATGTAGCATTAACTCAAGGTGCCAATGCACTTCCGTGCTATGGTAATAGGACTTCGGAAAATTGGGATTTGCACCACAAAATTGTGTTTCCCAAGCCAGGGACGAGCTGAATGGCCTAAGACCCGGTTTACTTGTCTTGCTTCAGTGCATTCTATTGATTCGTTTTCCTAAAAGTGGCCAATTTTATTGCCATGGCAATACTCTATATCTTCATAATGAAAGTATGTGCAGTGTAATTGACAAAAAAAAGAATGGCCATGATATCCAATAAAAACAATAATCAACGAGCATAACACCATTGATCTTATCCTTGGATATAATATTGTGAGGTGCTATTGCCGCCATTAATTATACAGCCGCCATTGGTTCTGCAGCTTCAAGTACAAACGCCTTCAAAAAACCCATCCGCCATATAGTTATAGTAACCTGAGGTATCAGCGGCCCATTTATTCAAAGTTGCGCTATGTTATACATGACATTATTATGCTATTGCATGATGCAATTATGGAAAGAAATAATACTTGGAGCACTAAGGCCACTCTATTGAATGAACAACCGACCTTCAATCAGAACTAGAATACAAGGTTCCGTTTGTTATATGTACCTTGTCCTAAGCGATCAATGAAAAAAGTGAAGTTGTTTGGTTGTTAAAGCATAGGCAACGTTTGAGGGCGATATAAAAGGCTAGAAACATATTTTGACCTTGACAGTGAAGCACAAATAATCACTCATCCTATCCACAATGTCTGTGACAAGCTTTCTCAATTGCCGCGGCACATTGGGTGCCACAACATTGCCCCGAGAGGATTTTCTGCCCTGCACAAACCCCCTTCCTCTGGCCGCCCAGCCCCAAACTCTCCACGAAGCGCACCCCAATGACGGCTCTCTTCCCAACATCCCCCCCCCCCCCCCCCCCCCCCCCCCCCCCCCCCCCCCCCCCCCCCCCCCCCCCCCCCCATCCCAGGTCGCTAAAACCGCCTCCAAAACGCGGCAACCCGCCGCGCACATAAGCCCCGAGGGGCGGGGCCCTCGGGCGGGCACAAACCCCCGTCCGCGGGGGGTCCCATCCCACACCGGCCCACCACCCCCCGCGCACCGGCCGCCGGTGTGCGCCCCTCAGAACCGTACATGCGCGCGGCCCACAGCCGGGGCCACCGGGGTCCTAGCGGTGCCCAGCTTCCTACGTCACACCGCCTGACAAGACCGAATCCGCCAGCCGAATCTCGGATGTGTGGCTGCGCCCCCGCCCCGCACCCCTCTCGCATCTCCCCCCGCGCCAAGGCCCCGCTGTGCTGCAGCGCCAACGGTGTTCGCCACGCACACAGGCCCCCCCCGCACCCCCCCATTAAGGGCCCTTGATCGGAACAGCGCACCAATCGTCGCACCCAGCCAGCCCCCAAGGGCGAGCGTCCCGGCGCCATGGTCCGCAAGGTCGTGAGGACGACGGCCCGGCGGCCCGGCGGCCGGCCGGGGGCCGGCCCGCTGCCCGCGGCGTCGCGGCGCGTGGGCGCCGGCGCCAAGGGCGGGCCACGCATGCAGGCTGCCACGGCCGGGAAGAAGAAGACGCCTGCGGGCAGGGCCGGGGGCAAGGCAAAGGGCGCGGGGCGCAGCCAGAGGGTGGGCCAACCGGCCGAAAACCTGATCCCGCCACTCGCCGTTCGTGTCGGGGCTGCGCACCCCGGGCCTGTCTGCCCCACCCCCTTGGTCCCCAGGGGGCCAGGGCGGGTGGCGGGGGGCCCGCGGGAGAGCGGGCGGTTTGTGCTGATGCGGCCTTGCGCGTGCGATGCCCAGGTGCGCGTGTGGTGGCCGCCCACCAAGGACAAAAAGAAGACGGACTACAGCGGGGCCTACTGGCCGGCCAAGGTGATCGCCCGCTATGAGGGGGGCTGCCGCGTGGAGTACGATAACGGGGACACGGAGGCCGTGGACGACGAGAACGTCTCGCCGGCCGACGTGCCCGTGGAGTTCGGGGAGGAGACCACGCGCCTGCAGGTGGGGCCGCGTGTCCCGTGGCGCACCGCCGGTCGCGGTTCCGCGCGTTTCTGTCGGGTCGTCGCCAGCCCGGGGAGGGCGGGGGGGTGGAAAGAGGGCGGGGCCCCAATGCCCCGGCCGGGCGCCTGATCCCCACCCGCCGGAATGCCGGCGCTGCGACGCGCAGGTCAGGGAGTACTGCGAGGTCTTCAACGACAGCCCCTCGGACCCGGCCGCCTGGCTGGCCCGCATCAAGAAGGTCGGCCGCGGAACCTACACGGTGAGTCTTCCCCGCGCGGATGGCGGCCCCGCGGGACGCCCATCCTGCACCACCTGCGCGCGTGGTGGCGCCACGCCGTTGGGAAGGTGTTCCCGTGCCGTGCGCGGCCGGCGGCCGCGAAATTTTTTTTGTGCGGCACCCTGCGCATGCCGTTGCGATGCTGGGCAGGGGCGGACGTTCCGGTCCCCTTGGGGACTGCCCCGCCCGAGTCCCTCGCCGAGTCGCTCAGCCCGCCGTCGCGCGCCCGTCCGCCCCGCCCCCGCTGCTCCCCACCCCCCGCCCGTGACGGCGGCGCTGACGGCCGGAGATGCGGCCGCCTGTGTGCTGCGCAGGTGGAGTTCCCCTTCCATGACACAAGCCCTGAAGTCGTCAAGGTGCGAATGCCCGAACCACGCCGCGATCAGCCGGCTGGGTCGCCGCGACCGCGGCGACCGAGGACTTGATGTCGAAAGGGCGGCCTCCCGCGTTCGCCGCATCCCGCGCCGTCCAATTTCCCATCTTTCGGGTCCTGTTCGCGCCAAGTCGAACGGAATGCCTATTTCCGAAACCCGCTTTCGGTTTTGTGCGATTTCTCGCCGCCCGGGGCGCTGATCTTGTGCGGCGGCCCCTTGCGCTCGCGGCCGAGATCGGCTGGACTCCCGCGTGGCCAATGCCTTCCTCCGATCCGTCGGCGTCGTTCTGAATGCCGCCCTGTGGCCCCGGCCCCGCCCACCCGCGGCTTCTGTCCATGCAGGAGGACCGCGTGCGCCGCGCCCGCATTTTCGAGACCGAGACGAAGAAATGGAAAGCCATCAATCCGAATCAGGACTGGGACGAGGGCGAGGTGAGTGTGCGCGGAACCCCCCGCCGCGACTCTGTGTCATGGCCTCGTGTCCCAGGGCCTCGCAGTCCGGCGCAGGTGTGGCGCGACGCAGCGCGCATTGCAGCAACGTTATTGGCCGAATGCGAACTGGATTGCCATTTGTCGCTGCAGTCTGTTCTGATGCCCGCCTGGCTGGCCCACCGCGCCTTGCTTGCACCGGAAACGTGGCGAAGGTGGTCAGAGATGGAACTGTACACGTCGATGTCGTAGGTGACTTCTCCGGTGGAACTGGAGCTGCTGCCCGAAAGCGAACTGAAAGATGCCCTGAAGGGAAAGACCGCCAAAAAGGAGGTCAGTTCTGGCCATGGCGAGAGTCTGTATGTGGGCAGCGATGCCCTGTGCGAATGCACTGCCACAGGGATTGGAAGTGAATTTGTGTGTGGAGGCGTGTGGGCCAGCGCCTTGGGTCTTCGCTGCATACGAAGGTGTATCATCGCTAAGAATGCGGCTGTCAGATCTTTCACTGTTCTTCCCACGTTGTGCGCTTGTTTCCTGGTGTAAGGCTGTTTGCATGTTTGGCCAGGAGCCGAAACTGAAGGTGTCTCGCAAAGGCATATCCGGAGTAAAAAAGGTTGTCAAACCTTCAAAGCCGCAAAAGCCGAAATCCAAGAAAACTGGAGAAACAAGCAGGGCAAAGGTGTGCATCTGTGTGTGCTCTCTTGGACCTGCCCTTTTGGGCAATTGTTGTTGGTGATGAAATTGTCAGCACTTACACACCCCTGCTGAACGGGGCTGAACCAATGGTATGCGGCGTTTTGGCAGGTGTCAGCTTCCGGCATTTAAGCCATTTTGATGCAAAGAAAGAGCCACTGACAACAGCGCTGACTTGCAGCTTGTAATGGCAATTGTGGCAGGCACCAACACCATCGAAGGCTCAAGTCGTCGTGCAAGAAGCGCCCCAGGCAACCCCCGCCTTCTCTGTTGGCGGTGGAGCTGCACCCATTCCCGCAGGCATGCAGTACACACAAGGCCTGCAGATACCACCAGGGATGGTTTGGTCTGGTTTAGTGCCTGGCATGCGGCCTGGCAGCCCAACAATGATGATGATGCCCCAGACAGGTAGGAGTTGTCCCTTCACACAGCGCCCGAGCTCTACCCTGAGCAGCCAGTCTTGTTGGGAATGGCAGCTCTCGCTGTCGCACAGTGACACCTGTGGCATTTGGCTTTGGTCACCTGTTTGGTGTGGCATGGCGATGCCTTTGGCAGTTGCTTTACTTGTAATTGCCCACTGTCAGATTCCAACTGTGTGGTGGTCCTTCAGGGTACACCATGGATGCAGTGCCAGAAACGCGCCCGCCGAAGAGGAAGAAGAAGGATCCCAATGCTCCCAAGAAGGTGAGGCGTTTGTTTTTGTGGCTAATGGCACCTGTGAGCTGTGGGTTGCTTCACAACTATGAGTTGAGCAATTTGTGCATTTAATTTGCAGGCCAAGTCTGCATATATCGTGTTTATGGAGCGCCACAGGCCTGATCTCAAGGCAGAAGGTCTGGAAAACCCAGAGATAATGAAACGCCTGGCTGAAATGTGGCACAAGGCGGCATGGGAAGAAAAGGGGGACTGCCAGAAGGAGGCTGACAAAGACAAGGAGAGATATGACTCTGAGATAAAGGACTACAAACCTCCTCCTGTTGAGCCAGAGAGAGAGGTGAAGATTGTGGTGGGGTTGCTTCATTGTTGTTTACTAAATTTGCTTTTCTATGTCCTTGGATTGTCGGCTGCTTGATTAGGTGGTGCTGTTCGGTGCTTGATGTGCCATAATTTGCCCACAGTGTCCAGTGCATCCTGTGCAGATCCGAGAGAAAGGCAGTGTTGCTGTGCATCCATTCACTTTTTGTTTTTCATGCCAAGGTCAAAAAGCGGAGGAAGGATAAGGATGCGCCAAAGAAGCCTCTGAGCCCTTACATTCTGTTCTCCAAAGATTTCAGGTCAGATGCTGCCAGTGTAAAATGTCCCATCTTTTGCAGAGTGCTTCAGGGCCTACTGCATTATTGCTTGTTCTATTCGGCACAGGACATGTGCCATGCACGTGCTGGCACCATACTTATTGTTCTACCAGTGTTCTTGGCATGGGCTGATTGTCACCACCTGCCTCGCTAGCACTTTGCTGTGGTAACGATCTTCAGTGTCATGGTGCTGAATTATTTGGCCCTTGTGCTAGGGAGAAGTTGGACGCTGGTGTGGAGTTCACAGATGCCACACGCAAGGCTGCAGAGGCCTGGAGGGCAACAGATGAAGAGACCAGGAAGAAATACGCAGCAAAGGCTGCAGAGCTGAAGGAGGATTACCAGAAGAAAAAGGTCGAATACAAGGCCAAAAAGGAACATGAGTCTAAGGAAGCAGCACAAAGGCAAATGGTGAGTGGAGAAGCCTGAGTTGTGCTCCACCCTAGCTTCAACGCATATCCTCCTAGGAAAGTTGTCAGCTGGTGAGTTGTTTCCCTGTTCCATTTTGTGCATTACAGCCAAGTGGCTGGATGTCTTCAACATCACATTGGAGGTTGTGTGGACACTTTTATAGCAGGCATTGTTGCTGTAGCCGTTCATGACACCTTTTCTGCAGAGGATAAGGCGTGCCATGCCTAGGTGAGTATGTTGATATACTAGTTATGCATAGAACCAAGACAGATCATCTTTTGGGCAGACATATGACTTTGCCAGAATTTCTGGATCCTGTTACATTCTGCACGAGAGAATGAGTCTCAGACTGCCTTGAGAAAAGTGCACAATGCTGACTCAAGAAGTGCAGAAAACCTGCTCTTGTGGATTCAGCGACAAGACAGCAGCAGACAGCAACAGACCTGTAGAACGTGAATGTTCTGGCTAAAAGAGAGACCATACACGCAAGCCACCACACCTATTGCCAATTATGCTGAGCCAATCGCTTCCCCTCATGGATGTTGCCCACTTTTGTGCCGCTTGCAGATGCTCCGCACCATGATACCTTCCCCTGGGTCGTTCGCACTGTCGCCCTCCTCAGCGCTCACCCCACCCCAGTCTCCTCTGGACCCCCAGATCAAGGAGGTCTTGAGCAAGCTGGACCTGAACAAAGCCAAAGTGTCCATCTTGCGCAATTTCACCATGGAGGCGTATTATCTGCTCCTTGACGTCTGGAGAGAGAACTCCCCCCGGCTCGGCGATTCCATCCGGGCATACAAGGCGCACATCGAGACACGGGAGCGCCACGACTGGCGGGCATTCTTTGTGAGCGTTTTTGGGTTTGAAAAGATGCATGCGCTGCTGAGGCGGGAATCGGCGACGACATCCGATGTGGCCAAACCATCACAAGATGGGGCGAAGGACGAGGTGGAGGGAGAGAAAACTGAGGCCGTGGCCACAGCGTAGGGAGAGAGAATGCAGGAAGTGGATGGACAGTTTGTATATGTGCTTTGCGCTGTTGATTTGTGTCTGTCGGTTGTGTGTATACCTGGTTGTTGCTGGTTCGCCAGTCAGTGTCATTTCAGATTCTCCAAGCAGCATGTTGTAAAAACAGCGTGATGTGATCGCCAGGGTGATACGTGGGATAAGGGCCTTGGCAGGAGATGAGGTGCATGGGAGTGCCCTCTCCCGCCAGAGCGCTGCAACCATGGACAGGCAGCCTTTGGACTTAGTGTTTTGTCGTGCTTCATGGCCCATTGAATGGGCTGTTGTTGACAGGGTTTGGATAGGGTTTGGGTTGTGGTGAGCGATGGGGAGGTTTCCATGGAGCTGGTGAGGAGATGCAAGGTGTTGGAAGGGGAAGTTGGAGCTGTGGATGACGATTGCAAGGGAATAGTAAATTGTGTGCATTTGGGCTGTTGAAGGCAGGCCAGCGCGTTTCTACGTTCAGGAAGGATATCTGGAGCGACATCGAAGTGCTCACTGGCGCCATGCTCGGTTTTTTTAAATCAAAGCTACGCTGCACCACTCCACCTCGGTTGGATGATATGTGCTATGTGCGTCCTGTGCGTTGCAGGCCTGTGCGTCTCTGCTGCCGTCTTCAACAATTGGGAGAGCTGTTCTGTGACCGTACTGATTTTCAGCGGTCATTGTGTGTGCGCTTTTTGTAATGTTTGCGGGCTCTGGTAGGCATGGGAATCCTGTTTTGTCTGAAACCGCGCCTCCCCTCAAAAGATCTGTTGAAGGCTGCACTTCTGCATGAAGGCGACAATGTCAGTATTGTGTTTTCAACCAAATGACATGAACTCAGCACCGCGGCATCGCCCTGTCAAGCTGCGCAATTCTTTCCTCACGCCCTGGAATGCAAGCTTGAAGGTGGACAGAAGCAGGTAACGTCCCCAAATACGCATTCATGTCGACGACCCTGAACTATCTGACCCAGGTGGACTGAACACGTTGAAAAAGTAGTCGAACGTAAAATTCAAAGCATAGTGGCCACCCTCTCCGCCCAGCAACGAGTGCAATGCGACTTGAGAATGCGAAAGCTCAGTCGTAGACTCCTGATTCATTGAAGCTGGCAGCCTTCTTCCACGCTGCATGCTAGAATTTTGAAGACGCCTATATTCCTTTCGAGGCGTGCCTCCAGCACGACTTGGACAACCGTCTCCGATTGGTCTCACTTTGACAGCATTCCACAAGCCGGTATCCGCTACATCGCAAGACCCACCACAAGTGTCCCGCCATTTCCCGTCACTCAAGCACACTCATGACATTAACAAAAACAGCTGCCCCATCCTTTCCCAATGGAGGACTGGTTTGCAGGATAGTGCCCGCTTCAAGCGTCATGCTTCCTTCACTACAGTGCTGGGGAGGGGGTTCGAGGAATTTGGCGTTGGAGCTGTCTTCAGTTGAATCTTGAGATGGTGTCTTGTTCCCCTCCCTGTGATTATTAGTTGGGCACATACGCTGATTCATATCGTGGAGATGTATCGTGGATATCTGAACACAATGCGACATGCGACATTACCTGGTAATGATGTCCTCAGCGGTCGTGGTACCACACTAGGAAGCACATGTTCCTGTGCTGGATGCTGGATGTTTCATTGTGACAAGGATGGATTCGCACTCACTTACATCACCAAGCAGACGGTGTGAATGGCGTGTTAAACTCAGCATGCACGGAGCGCACACATTGAGAATTACACCTGCGATGCCTCTTGCACCCATGCACCTCCGTTGGATGGGCTGTGTGCCACCTTAATCATCAATCGTCATTAATGTAGCCATATACCAGTAACGTCGCAGCATGCCCTGTGCCGATCGTCCCCAAGTCACAATACCTCCACGCCGGAGCAACGCCCCTAATAACTTACAAACTTCCGTCCTGTACGCCACCGTGTATGCGCTGTACGTACAGCGAGCAGGCGAGCAGGTGCTGCCCCCTTGTTGGTTGAGTGACTCAAGGACGAACGTTACGTCATTGTTGGCTTCCTTGCGGCTCGCATCAAGGCGCAGGGCGCGAGGGCGCGATTGGGCCTGCTTCCTGCTGGTGCGCTGTCGCGCGTCTGGCGCCTGCATGTTTTGCGCAAGCAGCGGATGTCGCTAACGGCCGGGAACTGTGCCAGTGAGCGCACGCGAGGCCGCGCACCACTCCGGATGTGGCGCCCGCAGTGGAGCCTCCACCGCCTGCCTGCAAATGCAGCTGACAAAATACAACCGAATGGGCACCGTCGAATAGCAAGAGGGCACTTGATCGGCGGATCTCAGACTGCAGGCAAGTCGGGTGCGGGAAGAACGCTGTGGAATCGCCACATGCGGCCCCAAGCATTTGCTGGAATCTGCCAGTGGCGGGCCATCCTGCAGGCCTAAGGGGCGAAGCGTGGATGGAAAGCGATGGATAATATCTTCTTCCATCAGGTGTCGTCCGCGGAGGGCCAGCCCGAGATGTCGCTGTTGTTGCTGATTGCAGATCCCGGTCTCGCCGACGGAACGCCAAAGGCTGCCGAATTGCATTTATCCCAACGGCTTGACAAGTGACTGCCACCAGCCCACGTTCACGAGACGACAACTCAGTACGAATTGATGAGCTGGGAGAACGCTGCAGTGAGGGCCCCGCAGCCATTGGAATCCAGCTTTCCCTGCAGAGAATGGCAGGGGCGCCGCCAGTTGCCTGTTGCCGGGGGCTTGCTGACCTCGAGAAGATTGCTCCAACAACCAAGCGGCATAATACCGGGCCATGGACTGCAATGCTGCGCCGCCTTCGCTTCTGGATTCATGCTCTCCGCTCTCCCTGCGGCTGGAAGGCGGCAACGACCGCACCACGCTGTCCCGGGTTTTCGCCTCGGCCATCGGGTCTATACATCCACGTCATCTGCTGCCACCCGAATGCCCCCGCGCGTTTCCACACCAGCTCCTGGGACAGCGACCCTCTCCCACGGCCCTCGCAGCTCTCGCGACAGCGCATATGCAGCTCGGAACGCCCGGGATCCTGCAAGACGGCCGAGGCTTGCCGCTCTGCGACGGGCATTGGCCAGCCAAGTCGCATGGGGCTGGGTGGAAGCTGCCGCGGTATAATGGTTCTTCATTATTTGCATGCTGTTTCATTTTGTCAGAAATATAATAATTGCTTCCATTCCCGCTATATAGCAACACAGCAACATATATGTTGACGTGCAGCGCTGCCAGCACTAGGGAAGAAAGGACCAAATAACACTCTTGCGAACACCCACCAAACACATTTCATCAAAGGTCTGCACACTAAGAACACAAAAATTAACACAAACCCGTAAACTTTGTACACGTTTGAACACGTATTATTTGGCCCTTTTCTCCTAGTGCAGAAGTACACGATCGCTGGCTCTACAGGCGGCCTGCAACATGTGCCAAAACTCGATGACAGCCGCTCCCTATTTAGTTTGCCACAAAATTGTGGATTGTGCAATCAGAAATATTTCTGATCAGTCCACAATATTAATGCTGTTAACGGTTGTTCGCTTATGCCTCCCGACTATGCCTCTCCACCTTTAAGATCTGGAACCATGGGTTAATCATGGCTGGTAAGTTGTCTTTCAGTCACTTTTGTCTGTGCCGCATTGTTTCTGAATGGGTTCCACCATGTCCAATGCTCACCAAAGAATTATTGAACGTGCGAAACATACATGTCGCTAATGGCCAATCATTATCGCAAACAAAGGCTTGGATTCGAAAGCCACATGTTGCTGCGCATTAGTACCTTTTTTATACTTAGAGAAGATGATTTTCATCATTGTAATAAATTGCCTGATAATATTGCAGAGAATGCACACGCGCAAGGCAAGTGGCAACACTACTAACAGGCCTGAATCATGGTCGCCAGTCGCCAATCGCGATCACCGATGGTCGCAGATGCTTGAGAGGCCGCATTAATAATACGATCTCACTAATTTCCTTTCAACCGTTGTATATAATCAAGTACGGGGGCATCAATAGCTCTCAGAGTTTTGTGCAGTACATATAAATACGGTAAGAATGGTGCAAATATGCAATTGATTACGTGTTTCACAATGATTTATGCTGCATGACCATTGTCATGCACGCAGAGATTGCGATGACACCGGATGGAAGCGCCCAGACAACACAAAACAATGGTCAATCTATTAATCTACAGCACCGTAGATGTGACCGAGAATCTTGATAATTCATGCTGTTTGCAGAAAACAGGCTCAAGATACCGATACATGGTACTGTGCTTTCCATAATATTGCACGACGGTAACGTACCGATTGTAGACCTAATAGTTCCTATTGATCCTAGTATATTCAATGCCACCCAGCAGGGCTTACACCTCAACTTCTGTACTGTAACGAGGGCTCCGTACATACGCAGCAATCCTAGTGCCAGTCGCAGTTTGCGGTCTAAAACACCATTTCGGGAATCGGTATGTACCTATATTCATCGGGCTTGTAGCAGCTGTCCTCGATACAAAGGGGTTGGTGCGGTAAGGTGTACCTCATGTTGTGCAAGTTGTACACAACTCGTACCGTACAAGCAATTTCAACCAGGGGTGGGCACACACGAGCGTGTTTTTCGCGCTTACGTTGCTTTCGTGCTGAAACGCCAACGGAAGGTGAACGACACCATCGCGTTCCCGTTTCGTAAACTCGAACGCAGGACGCACGTTTACGTTCCGGCTTTGAAAACCCAAACGTACAGCACACGTTTGTGTTTGCGTTCTTGTATCCAAAGCGCTCTGGACACGTTTCTGTTCACGTTGTGACAGTCGGGGCGTTCGCTTCACGTATGCGTCCAACGTTAATAACGTTTGACAGGTCGAACGCACGATACATAAGACAGATTGGTTTACTGTCCGACGGCAAAGCACAAACATGGGGTACTGGGCACGATGCAGACAGTCGCGACTAAGTATGGCAGTGTGCCTGGTTGTGATTGACGGGCGCTGGCCGGGCCGGCCTGGGCGCCGATTGTGGGAATATATTCCCATAATCGGCGCCCAGGCCGGCCCGACCAGCCCCCATCAATCACAACCAGGCATATATGGGAAACTGTCCCGCGAGTGCGCCGTGCGCCGAGTGGGTCTAGCCGCGCCAAATTGGCGCAGTGCCCGTTGGCGAATTGTCAAGAAATCACCATCAACGTGAATCAAGCGACTTTTTCTGCAGCTGGCTAAGTGTGGGTGCCTATTGCCAGGCTTGGTTTTTACACCGTAAAAACTGATCGTATTTACGTTTTACGCGTAAAATTAGTTTTTACGTTTTTAAGCGTAAAAATGCGTAAAAATACGTAAATACAACGTAAAAATTGTCTGGCGTACATAAGGACAGTACCTAAAGATTTTCGCAGTCCGTACATCGGCAGCCAGACAACTTGGAAGGGACAGAAAACCAGCTTTTGTTAAACGTCATTATCGCCGTTGCCCAAGGCGAGGTGGACATTGTGTTGCAAGTGCTGGAGATGGCGCAGGACTGAACATTATACGCAACTTTCATCGTGTAACCTCAGTGTCCTAGGGAGCCGTAAAAACGTAAAATTGGCCGTTAAAATAGGCCCTTTTGCACATTTACGTTTTTACGCGTAAGAACGTAAAAGTAAAAACGTAAACGTAAACGTAAACGTAAAAACCAAGCCCGCCTATTGCTGCCACGGGCACCGCCAATATCACCAGCTTTGCAGATCGTCAACAATGCCCACCCACCCATCTCTACTCCTGAAGATCTGAAAGCGCAAATTTTCTCGACGTTCGCGTCTACATTGTCATTGTTGAAACGGTTAGTCCACGTCAACGGTGACGTTAACGTTAACGTGAAGTCAAGCGTTAACTTTTCTGTTTTAGTGACCCGAAACGTTCAAGTTCCCCCTGCGACAACCCAAATGTACGGCAAACGTTCACATTTCCGTTTTGAACAGCGAATTGTACTGCCGGCGTTCATGTGTCCGTTTCCGAAGCCCAAACGTACTGCACACGTTTGCGTTTCCGTTTGAGCGGCGCATGCCCACCCCTGATTTCAAATTTGGAAAGTATTGGTGTGGGGATGTGCGTGGCGTTCGGAGTTGGGATGCTTAGCGCCTCCTTTCTCACTGCATTATGAGGCAAAAGGCTCAATTTCAGCAATTGTGGGCGGCGACGGTGGGCAATTTGCGCATTATCGTATTGGCTGCCATTTTTCCCTGGTGCACAGTGTGCACTGCACGCTTCCCGTTGTTCTATCCGCCGATTGCGGAGTCAGGAACCGCTAGGCGGGCAGCTGCAAGGGGCTGGTCGCCAAATGTCATTGCTGCTCGTCATATGCTGCCCATCGCTGCAAGGAGAGGGTGCAACTTGCAGGCGGTCCAGGGGGCCACAAACTGCAGCCCTGTCCTATGGGCTTGCCAAGCACATGGGCGTGCCCAATGGGCCCAGTGACGACTATTACCCAAAACTGCCGGACATGTGCGACTGTATAATCATGTGACACATGTGCGATTGTACAATTGGCTCCCTCCCGCCAATTTCTTGGCGCCCATGCCCTGCCCACCCCCTTACCGTCCACTAAACGTTGCGCCGCATAAATTATGTGCATAAAATGCAAAATAATGTCTTCCATAAGGTAGTGTGAAGTTTCCTAGCACAATAGACAAATGTAAAATGCTCGTGATGCCCAGTTACATGAATTGCGATTTCGAGATCGTTCCACTCTGAATTTTTGTTCCGACCATCACCGCGTGAGATGGATAAAATTTCTCTATGGTTTGATTTGGAAAACTTGTTGTTGTGTTTCTGGATGATGCTTTTATACCCAATCAATATTTTGAGGTAGGGGAAGGACACCCTAGGATTGTTTTGAATTGGCTTGTGACGTTGGCTTTGTGCGAATGTCAGGGAATGTGAGCTGTTCAAGAAGCAGCGGTTTTACCAGAAGTTAAGTAGAGCATCTCGGGTGTGACGTTGCCCTTAGGAAATAAGGACAGCGCTAAAGTACAAGTTCGGAAAGGTTTAATGTCGCTGTCGAACAAGAGTTTGTTTTCTGCCCACTTCAGCGAGTCTGGCTGCCACTCCCGGATTCCCTGAGTGTGCATGTAGTGTCTTTATGTACACAGGCGCCATTTTTATGCCTATTTACGCGTGAAACGTGAAACTTATTTTGGCAAGTAAAGACGCACAAATATGCGAGTATTTATTCCGTAAACAGCAGGCCTGGTGTTGTGATCAAGACGGCGATGTGCTCCGTTGTTCTGTTGCATGGGTCATTTGCGCACGCGTGCAGAGGCATTCTGACTGTCGGCGCTTTGGCACAAGTTGACTTTGCGCGAACGATGTACAGACCGAATGCGCTTCACATCTGTGGCGGTTATGTGTTGCGCACGGCCAACGTCTGCCACCCACTCAGGTAGCGATGAATGCGAGCGGTTTCAGATACGTCGAGGAGCCATCTTCCACACATGGCATTGGCTGCACTGGATGGCGGGCAGTTGCATCAACCGTGCGTCGCTGTGCGACTTTCCCAAATCGATTGATGCTAGTCCAACTGGGCCAGTGTTCTCCAGTACGCCCTGATCTGATATTTGCTTGCGTATCTGCAGACTTCTCTCTGGCCATTTGTTCCGGGCATTCGTGCCAGGCACTCAGGATTGACGTTCTTGCGAACGGGTTGATCAACCCGCTCAGTTGAGCTCAGCATCTGCTCAGCGCTCTGCATACAGGAATGCACAATCGTGCTTTCCACGAAGCGTTTGGGCTTCGTACTTGTCATTTCGAACGAAAAGCATAGAGACAACGTCAATTGACGGCCACGATTGTAAGCTTGGAAAGGGATGGTGAAAAGCAGCAAAGATAGAATGTGTGTCACTAAATCGTCCATTATGTTACTTAAGCAGAGGATCCCAACAAACAGAATGATGTACACAACGCGCCGAATTGGCGCACAAAGCGACATATTTGACAACCGCACACATACATTGCAAGAGCCCCATTATGCGCAGAAAAATGCCTCGAAAGTCATTGACCAAACACCAACAGCTTGAACCCTCTGGCAGCCCTCCAAGCCACACGATTTCTTGACATTGCAACCCTGTGAACTTTCTGACGGAACTCCTATCCCTTGCGGACCATCCCTTGCTGAACCCAACCTCGTGAATGGCGGACAACTGCAAAACTCGGCTCGTATAATGACCAGATCCCATTGCCCCCCAAAAATTCATCCCGAGTCCTGAATCCTTCGCTTCGTTTCCCTCGTCGCAAGCCATTGCCCACTAACTATCGCACCACACCCGCATTCGCCTATTCCCAAAGCGGGAACACTTGCCGGACGCCAGACAAGTGCAAAAGGCCTCGTTTCTACCGTCGTTTGCAGCACCCTCCGGCGCCGAGCAACCCCTCTGCAGAATCGCAGCAAGTGGAAATCCAGAATAAAATGGCTTGAAAGGTGGAGCGAGTGCCGCCCTTGGCGACGGCCACGGCGCCCTTCAACCCGCCTCGTGCCACCCTTCTCCTTGCGTTAGGCTGGCCGCACCAAACAGACCTCCTCCCGTGCCAGCTGTCCTGGAGAGCAATTCGCCCCTCCCCAACGTTCTCCTCGGAGCGAAAGTTCAAAACGTCGGCCCCGACAGCCCAGCACCAACCAGTGCAAGCTCAGCCACCAACCAGTGCAAGCTCAGCCACCAACCAGGGTGCGCCCAGGCGCTGCGTTCCCTCAAATGAACGGGATGAACTCGATCTTGAGCTCGATCTCCCCGTGCTTGATGTCCTCCAGCCTGTACCACCTTCTGCACGTGCCCGTGCTCCTGCAGGAGTCGATGATATCGGATATGGGCAGGTCCTGCCGCCCCAGGAAGTCGTCGCTCAGAGCGTCCTTGTCGTACACCTTCACCTTGAGCTCGTCGTCGGTCGTCACGCAGTGCCCCGCCCGGGGGTCGAAGAACTCGAACGTCTCGTTGTACACGGGGTTCAGGCTGTCCTGCACCACAACGGTCCTGAACTCCTTCCTGCCAATCTTCACCTTGACGTAGGGGTCGGACACGCCGCCGCTATCCATGGCCACCAGGTCCCTGCACTGAATTACCGTCACGATAACGGCGCCGCTGCTGGAGTGCTCCGACCGCAGGGACTCGAACGACTTGTAGACCATCTTGAGGGTGATGGTGCCGGCGCCCACGCCCGGGCCGTGCATGTCGGAGAACTCGCCGGGGCCCAGCTCGAAGGTGCGCTCCACCTGGCGGCCCTCTTGGCTGGCCGCATCGCTGAGCGGCACGATGGCCCTGCAGGGATAGGCATCGCGCTTTGGAACTGCGATCGCGATTTCGCGCGCGCGGAGTGTCGACAGCCGTTGAAGTCCCTCCGACAGGCGCGCGAGCGCCTGGCGCAAGGAAAGCAGTGAGCGTCGCCAACAGCGTGGGCGCTGACCGTCTCTGAAGTTACAGCTCTGGGCTCGACCCAAACTTTTCACCGCTTGTAAAGTTTCTCAGGACACCCAAGGAAGACCTCGCAAAAAAAGCTGCGCGGTTCCATGTTGAGGCAACGCCAGACAGACGACTTGCCCCGCACCTGGGGCCGCAGTCAGAGGACTGCCGCGTCGACGACCAGTCCACGTTAACCAGTCGTCGCCAGGATGACAGATCTAGAGGTCAATGGCGCAACTGACACACGAAAGTGGTTCGCCGGACTCGCGGCAAAGGATATGACAATAGAACAGTGTGTCCGTCGTGGGCTGCTGGCCAGGGGGGTGCAAAGTGGTGCTGCACTGCTGCCACCCTCACCTGCCCAACGGTTCCTTCGCGCCAATGGCCTCCTTTGCAGTCTTCAGCACATTCAACTTCAGGTTGACGTTGACGGCGTCAATGTCGTTGACCAACACCATGATGTTCTGGGACGTCGGTTCCTGCACAAGCAAGTAGAAATCCTCCCCCCACTTGGGCGTCAGGGTGTTCTTCTTTACTGTCGTGGACACCTTTCGGTGGGGCTCTGTGTACAACTCGACCTGGACACCAAGTTACAAACGAGTACCCAGTCAGGCAAGTCAGTCAGGCACATGCCGGTCAGTCTGGCAAAGGGCAGGGGCTTGCCTGGGTATTATGAGACCCTGCGCAAAAGCACTTAACTTGTGAAAGGACAGTGATTTATATTGCTTTGGCACAGAAATGATTGCACATGTTCAGCGATACAGCTCTGAAAGTCTCTAAAAGGGCTATTCTTGGGAGCTCTTGAGACCACCACAGTGCATGTTTGGTGTTGCTCCAAGATTTCAACTTGAAAATCGCAACAGTTCTTGGCATTCAAGAATGAGGGAAAAAGAAGCAATTGCACTGACCTGTGGGTCTGACGACCCAAAGGTATCCGCCCTGCGCAAGCCCGCAGCCTCCACCACTGTCACCAGCAACAGGCCCACACTGTGCAGCTGCAGGTAGTCCAAGGGGCCCGTGATGCTCTCTTCCATGATGGGGATGACCAGGCGCTTTGGCCACACCAGCATGTTGCCCCAGATGTCCTTGAGGAAACCATTGATCAGGGCCTTCACAGGGCTGCCTACCATGCTACCACCCAAGGCTTTGCCGAAGTCCATGTTGAACTTGATGTTGGGGGGCCGCTGCACCGTCACCACCAGGGCTCCAAAACAGGGAATGACATCCAGGAGGGGCTTAAAGATCACACGGATAGTCCCCACCAACTGGAGGTCTGTGATCTTGGGCGCCATGCGCGTGTTCTCTCTGAGCAGTGTGTGTAACGAAAGTCAACAGAGTTGTCTTTATTGCAGATGGGCATGTTCGTCAAGGGTGGCAGGCAACATCACCTCATGGCCTGCTTCAAGCAACTGCAGTGGAAGACCCCCTAATCGTGCTTTTTCAGGTGCCTCAATTACAGCAATCAAACTCTGACAGTTCATGAGTCGTTTGTCTCTTTTTGCTTGACTACAAATGGGAAGAATCCCGAGACACACATGTGCTGGCGACGGCTTCTGGAACCCTATGGTTTGTTGAACACCCCAAGGACAAAGTGGACCCTCACAGGGCACAGAGAATATCCATCGCCTCATCGGCTTGACACCAGCGCCTGGCACAATTTGGCTGTAATTGCCACTTCTAAGGGCAGGCACAGCCACTTGCACAGTGTTTCTCACCCTGTGACTTCAATGGCCAAAACGATGCTGGCATCACCACACCAGCGGAGATCAATGTCCATGACAATAGATGGATCGTCGCCTTGAATCCTTTCGAGACGGACACCTAAGTGACAGACACTCGATTCAATGTATGCTATGAGTTTCTCCAAGCAAACAACTGCTGATGCCTTCCAGTGAATTCTTAGGATATGGCTTGCCTGCATCTGCAGCTTCGACCTGCAATTTTTCCCTGCAAAGCAGACCCTGTGCTGACGTCGCAGTTCCTACCGTCACTGCTTTGCATTTGGGATGCTCCACAAGGGCAAGCTGCAGCAGCATAGCTGGCACATTTCCAAACTGTTTTCTGCAGGCGGATGGTGGAACTTGACAATATCGATTTGACTACTAAGAGGCGCACTTGGTGTCACAACTGCAAACAACCCAAGACCATCACAAGCCAGGCCACATGCAGGTTCATTACCTTCAACCCGCATGGGGGCATCTCCAAACGTCAGGCTCTTGAAACCGATCCTGTTGAAGCCAACTGGCTTAAAGTCATCCATAATGGGCTCCACCAGTTCCTATATGCAGAATGGCAACTTTCCCATCACAACAAGGCACCTTACGCTTTAGAGGGTGCTTGGGCAACAGTCAACAAAGGCAGTCAGATGGCATTGTGTTGTGGCCAGATGCCAAAGGGTCCCACAGCAAGAGCATCTATCACCCTGTGCCTGGATCCATTTCTGCAGCCATGGCCCTCACTCACCTTGATGGTCGCACAGACTGCTCTGTCATAAAAAGGCCAAGCCTGGGCCATGAATTTGTTCAGAAACTGCAGCATAGAAAGAACAGGAGCATTAATGTTGTGGCTTGATCCAACTCGTTCCATCGATGCTGAGCCAATTCATTACACATCAAAAAAGAGCATACAGCAACAAGATCATCACAATTCTAACCTGGAACATGCACAGATTTCTGCCGTGAAAGTAGGGTCAGCAGGATTTCTCCACATTGGCAACAGTGGGGTTGTCAACCACAATCAGATTTCCGACAAGAGTTGCAGCGTAAGGCAATCGACGACAGCGGGATTTCGAGGTTCGTGGCCCCAGCTCCAAACATCAATCCACTCCGTCGTGGACGGATCGGCCTTGTGGATGCACAGCAGGGCCAATGCCCTCCCGAACGCTCTGTGGCCATTCAGCATCTACGCCATAGCCATCCCAGATCCCCGCCCCCCTACCAGCACTCACGTCCACTTTCTCGCTCTCCGTGTACTGCAGCCACGCGGGCTGC